AGATAGATGCTGGTGAGGTAGGTGTTGAGCTTGAAGACTCTCTCAATGACGTCCTGCAGACAGCACTGCGAGTCTCAGATGGTAGAGCGTCTCTGAGCTGAGATAGAGATTGCATTGATGGAGACCTGATCTCTTGAGGTTTGAACTAGCCGGGCTAGCGGACTCGTGGGTGTGTTGGCGTGCGGAGTACTCAATCCGGAGGATTCTCAGAAGCGGAGCTTGTGTAAAGTGAAGCTCTGTGACATACTATCATTTGATGCACTCTGTAAGGTGTAATAAGCTTGATTCTCTATCTATGTCATGACATGAGCTATTTATGCTCATGGATGATGTCTAGCTATTGCTCTAATAGGCAAGTGTTGACATGATATGATGTAATGTAAGGCAAGTGAGCAGAGTGGGTATGGAGCATAGCAAGGTGTAGCAGAGAGCAACAGCTAGCTATTCTGCACATACAACAATGCCTCAATGAATTGAAAGCACAGATTCATGAAGATATTTTTATCAAATTTCAATCAATTCAAATATCACTGCAGAACCACTGCAAAATCAATCTGTAGATAATATGAATGATGATAATAAAACATTGCTGAGATTATGTATGTATGTATGTATGTATAGGTTTAACGTCCCGGAGAAAACACGGGCAGCGCCCGTGTTTCAGAAGCCTCCCGAAGGGCATGGAGACGTGCTACGCTGGAGAGATTTCTATGTACACAGAGAGAGAAAACAGAATCCAGGTGGCAACTCTTGAGAAGACTCAGCTCATTGCAAAGGATTTTTCTGAGCTGCGCATCCACTTCTGGCCCGACGTATGGCCATTCATGGTGGGGCTATAGTGTGGTTCCCTGAGGGGACCGCCGCTGCCGTGCCTGGAAGGCTTTATAGTGAGCAGAGAGGGATACCTGTCTCGGTTGATCAGAAAGCTGTCTGTGCTTCTAACATCAGAAGAAAGACAGACAAGGTAAATAATGAAGGAGAGAGCACTGAAGAAGGTTGTGACAGGAAAAGAGCAGAGAATGACAGAGAGAGCAAAGAAAAGAAGGAAGAAGAAGCATTTGAGCCGATAGAGACAAGGGCAAACGAGAGGAAAACAAAGCAGAGCACGCGTAGATACAATGCCGGCAGTCAAAACCATATCAGCTGAGTCAGACACGTGGACTGTACTGATTTATCATTGATTAAATGATGATAAATTTTAAAATGATTTTTATTAATTTTTATTAAAAATATCTGCATCATTGATCATTTCTGCATTCAACAAAAATGTCAGTTTTCACATCTAATAATTGATATTATTAAATATGATGATGAATTTTATATTCAATGAGATCTGTGCTTTTTTCTAATATTTATAAATCAATATATTCAGATTTTTTTCTGACATAAAGTTTAAAAAAAATGAAAATGATGAGGAAGATGAAGAAGATGACAATGTGTGTGTTGATATCAATCATTCACAAAATGCAATGAAATCTGCTGCTGTCATAATCATCATATCATTAAAATTCAGTATAGATATCAGTATAAAACTGAGCATATCATTTTCAGATTTCTCATATTTTGACATTTTATTAATATCATATATTGAATCAAAAGTTGTCATATCTTTCTCTGTCATTATATATTCAATTTAATCACTCTTCACTTCTGAATTGAATTTTTATTCAATAACAGAGGAGAAGAATTGAAGAATTCTTGATTGTAAATATAATGTCTTTTTACATTTTGATATAAAAGTTGTAAATAATTGAGAATCATTTATAATCAATTTAATTTAAAGAGATTCTGAATCAAAATAAATAAATAAGTTTTTGATCTTTTCAAAATAGTACTGAAATCTCTGCAACAGTCTCAACAGCAATTTTACCCCGGTGGCTGAGTGGGTAATGCAGCCATCAGATAGCGCCTTGGTATGGGGATTTAAGATGTATGAGTTTGAAACTTATAAAGAAACAACATTACATCTGAAGCCAACTTCTCAGCTTTCAAAATAAAGAGATGTGAATTTGTCAAGTTGATATCTTCAGATAGATCTATTATCTGATTTAATTTATTATTTCTGAGTTGAAAATCTGTATTGTGATTATCAAATTCTGTCTTTTATTAATTTTTTTATGTTTCTGTTTTATTCTTGATATCATTCAACACTAAGCATTCCTCTTGTATAACCAACTTGTATTTAACATTACACAAGAACTCGTCATAAGCACTGCTTGCATACGAGTATAACGGAAGATATAATAATAATAAT